CAATTGGTGGCTGACTAAATACTTTTTTTCCCCACTGTATCACTGCTCTTCTCTTTGAACATTTTTCTAATATTTTTGTAACTATTACACAATGCACACAAGTACACAGATGTCATTGTTAAATTTCTTAAAATATAACTTTTCAGAGAATATAAAGTCAACTAGTGTAAATATACATCAAAATCAATCGGAAAGAGCATAGGTTGATAAAATCTTCTAATCATTTTATGCTTAAATCAGTATTACAAATACTTTTAGCTACCTATTCAGTCACTGTTTAAAAACATGTGTAACTCTTAGTGAATCTAGCTGAGAGTTGCTGGTTTGATTAGCACCAATGAGATCAAGTGATGAGATAATTTGATGATGAGGAGGGAATGTAACTAATCAGCAGAGTGAACAGTGAGGGTCAAACCCCTGTCTTAATCCCCCCATATAGAGAAGGCATCAGCCAAACTATACAAGTGCACTCATGTGCTGCAGTCAGGAATATCGTACAAAAGCTCCTCAGACGGGCGGATCTAAACTCATGGCAGAACCGTAAGCATATCTGTATGTGTGTGCGTGGTCATATGTCTAATATTTTGTAGTGTGACACAAATATCTAATCAACTAATCAAGATAATGCTAACACCAATCAGATTTAGGAAGCATAATACCTTGATTGGAACCCGCTGGATTGGTGTCAGAAGGCTTCTGGGGTGGTCTGGATCTCACCAGGTTGCCCTCACTGCCAGCCCTCATCAACCTCTCCCCGACGACCAGCATGTGTGAGCGATTCCCTGGAGGTTGCTTTCGGGACTGCTTGGAGGGTTTGACCAGACGTGAAGGTTTGGACATCTCTCCAAGTTCTCCTGGAGCACACTGGTAAGGGATTTTTCCAAAGTTCTCCCTTCTTTCTGAAACTGCACACACCTTCACCTGTCCAAACTTTGCAGATAACCTGACATCCACCTAATTGATTTGCTGTCCTTCTCTGCTAATATTCATTCTTGCTCTGACGAATACTGGAAAGTGAAACCAGTTGAGGAGTCCTTGGAGAGAACCATCTGCTCAGCTTGAGGCACCACAGTGAGGACACAACTGAACGCATGAAGAACTGAATCATTGAAAGAGCTGAGGTTGTTAAACTCTCTCGCTATGCAGAAACGTACAGCATGCTGATGTCTAATCACTTCTCCCGCTTTGGAGAAATGATCCTCCTAATAATCCAGCACCAGGCAAGCATCAGGCATCTAATCTACTTGTGTAGTTGCTGGTGAAACACAGTGCTCTTCATGCAGATGTAATCTCTGTGTTAAATCGCCATGCAGATTTAACCAGGGAGGCAGCAGAGATGATCACTGTGTGTCAGTTGGCTTCCTC